TCTGTTTAATTAGCTTCATGGATGGTTATCACTTAATCACCGTGATAAGCATCCAACTATTCATATGTTGTATTATTAACAATTTTAAAATAAAATTCCAAGAGTTGGAGACAAATATATACAAATGTAGCAATAAAAATGTATGTGTAGGGTAATGATTGTCAAACTATGTTTGTTGCATATGTTGATATGCAAGTCATAAATAACCTTAATGCAAGCCTACCACCATACAAAAAAAATTTAGTAGACAAATATTGAAATGGAGAGAGGAAACATTTAAATACCATCCTTGCTTATTAAACCCCGCAAAGCATCAACAAAGGGGCCCCATTACTCCGGAAGAAGGGGGTTGATGATATCAAACAACTTGGTTTACAACTTGAGCCCGTATTTAATTTTACAAACAAATACGGGTGGCGTGTAAGCAGCGGCGGTCAGTGGGTGGACAACCTTGTATGGCCAGAGGCCTCATTGGTCTGGTGAAGGCTACCAAATTATCCATGGACGATGCTTGTGAGGTTGTCACTTGGGTGGCAAATGAGATACAACTTTGCCTGAACATAGAACACGTTATCCCTTCGTCAATTCGTCACATAGTAAATCCAACTTATGCTATCCCACGTATACTAGAAACATTTGATGTGTTGAGTGGTGAGTTTCAACTCCATATAAACAGTTACCTTGATAATTTGAAATAATACTTTATAGAAAATTTGGTTTGCTTCACCCGCATCGCCACGAGATGGTAATGGCTCGGGGTCCATCGGCTGGATGGTAGGAAAGTATCGATAGAATTCTCTGCAACCAAGAACACAACAACATCAATAGTTTAAACAACATTAGTGGTGTGGAATTGTAGAGATATGTCAAGAGATACCTTCTTACCATATCTATAACACATTGTGGAGTTACATGTGCCATATATGTTGTTGCTGACTGAAACACAAGTGTTTGTAAAGATGGCTCCTTTTATATGTCAAAAAACAAACTGCTTTGCAATGTATGGGAGTTCCAGTAAAGAAGCTAACGACAGAGTTACGTTGTTAGTCTTTACTAGTGACATAATATTTAGTTGAGAAGACGACATAGGAGATATAAACAGCTTAAATATGGCAATAGTTTATTAGTCAAATGTTTGAACTTGTGCATTAATTATATCATTATCACAAATGAGATGTTTTAAATTATAAATGCTTTGGGCCTTAATTCTAATGTCAGTAGTTGTATAGTAATTCTACCATTTTTATAAATGAGATGTTTCAAATACTAAATATGTTGGCCATATTTCTAATTTCTTTTCATGATCGGCCTATATGAATGTGTGACATTCCACTCCCATTAAATTCTTCTTTCATTGCATGTGTAACATTAGCCCATTAATGGTAACATGTGTTTGGGCTTTAAACTGAAACTCCAATGGGTTTCTTTTTTTTTTTTTTTTTGCCAAATGGGCTTTTTAATCTAAATTGAATAGCATAGTTAGACCCTATGTAATAATGTAGGGCCATTTTTTGACAGCCCTAATTTAGGTACAGTTAAAAACATAAATCAGAACAACCAGCCATTCTAATTATCATCTAGCAAGGCTATTGGGTTTCCTTTGTAGACAAAACAGTACATCATAATAATTAAACCACTAGCTATTGTCATAGTAAATATAGAAACAAACATGCAAATTTAGAAATAAGAGGAGTTATCTTTCTTAATTTGCTTTAAATGCATGGAACCTATGTTACAATTTTACTTTCTTAATTTGAGGTAAAGTAAAAAATATTGTAACATTTTATTTGTTACAATAAACTACTTCTAGATGGTAAAATGGTCCATTCATAAATCTCCAACTAAAAACACCTCTTATCTTTATATATTACTCGTAAAGATAATTAATCAAATGTTGAATGGAATTATTTGAACATTAAATTTAACCAAAAAATATTTATTTAGATCCCATCAACTAAGATCCATAATTCGTTTTGCGTTATCCAAAGTCATGTAACCCCATATAACACTATTTGCACTACGAAATCTTTAATGCTCAAGTTGTCAGGTAATATTTATGAGCACAATGAATGGTTGTTATTTGTCGCTCCCATTTTACCGGGTAACGCTCCCTTTTTTTCTTGAAATTCCAATTTTACCCCTAATATATAAATACAGTTTTTTCCTTCCCGACCAACATTTCTCACTTCTTTACTTCTCTCTCTAACTCTCTTACTCTCAACTCTCTTACTCTCTAACTCTCTAAAACAATTTTTTTTTTTAAAAAAAAATTCAAAAATTGTTCTTCATTTTTTAAAAAAACAACAATCATCATAAACACAAAAGAAAATGGGTGATTCGAGGCGGATTAGGCTGAGATTCGGAGGGAGGACCTTCGGCGGCGCTGGTGGCGGCGGCGATGGTGGAGACGAGGTATTACTTTTTTTTTTAATTTCGGATCCCAGGAACTTCCGCCCAAAATTTCCGGAAGTTTCATGGAGGATCCGCCTGGAACTTCCGGATCCTCCATGGAATATCCGGACATTTTGGGCGGAAGTGACATCCGCCCAGAATTTCCGGATGTTCCATGGAGGATCCGGAAATTCCAGGCGGATCCTCCATGGAACTTCTGGAAATTTTGGGCGGAAGTTCCAATTTTTTTTTTTTTTTGGCCCGTAAATAAAATTGTTAATTTTTTTTTCGGATTTTGTTTTTTTTTTGTTATTTTGAAGTGTTATGGTGATTATTGTTGATATTATTATTATTGTTGTTGTTATTATTGTGCTTATTATATTTTGTAATGTAATTATTTTAAAAAATATGATAATTTTTATGATTTTGTTGATATTAGGTTTTTATTATTAATGTTAAGGTTATTGTTGTTGTTGTTAATTTGTTTTTTTTTTTTGGATTTTGTTATTTTTGTTGTTATTTTGAAGTGTTATGGTTAGTATTATTATTATTATTGTTGATATTATTATTATTATTATTATTGTTATTATTATTATTATTATTATTATTATTATTATTAGTGTTATTATTTTTAAAAATATGATTAGTATTATTATTAAACTAATTTGATATTAGGGTTTTTATGGTTATTGTTGTCGTTTAATTTGTTTTTTTTTATTTTTTTGTTGTTGTTGTTATAATATATTATTATTAGTGTTATTAGTAGTACTATTATTAATATTTTTAATTATGATTAGTATTATAGTTGTTGATATTAGTGTTGTTATTATTGTTATTATGGTTATTGTTGTTGTTGTTAATTTGTATTTGTTGTTGTTGTTGTTGTTGTTGTTAGTTATTGTTGTTGTTAAGGTTATATTTGTTGTTGTTAATTTGTATTTGTTGTTGTTGTTGTTGTTGTTGTTGTTATTATTATTGTTGTTATTGTTATTATGGTTATTGTTATTGTTATTACTAAAATTGGATTATTTTTTAATTTTATGTAGATCGAGGGTTCTGGTGCTCGACATGCAATATCACGACGTCTGAATGCGTCTGTTAGGAGACAGACATCTCGATCTTCACCGGTTCATCCCGAGCAGCAGCAATACGGGTCTACTAGTGGTTGGTCGAGAGACCAACAGTCTGGTAGTAGTCGGCCCTTGTACTCTGCAAGTGGAGCACCAATATCTGACGAGGAAGACAAATGTTCGGCTAGTCATGTTGGTGACCAGGATGAAGAACAGGACCCTCAGGATTTCCATATGGTATATAGGGGTCAGTTTGGGAGATTTGTTGGTAGTGGGTCGAGTCAGCCTACTTCCAGCTCTGCAGAGGCATGGTTAGTGCAGGAACCGATGCCGGGTGGGCCTGAGGATGGGTCAGTTATCCCTAGTTTTGGCGGTCACGTGGCACGGTATATCTGGATGGAGCAGGAGCGTAGTGTTTTGCGCTGTTTGAGTAGGACAAAGTTATGTTCTGACTTGTTCACTTGGCGAGGCCGTCAATCTGTGGAGGAAATTGCGGCGATTGATGCTAGTTGGTTGTCTCACTTGCCCGGCCTGATGTTTAAGAGACTTGATTGGCCATTGATTTCTGCTTTTGTTGAGAGGTGGCAGCCAGATACGAACACCTTTCACATGCCATTTGGGGAGATTACGATCTTGTTGCACGACGTGTACAACATACTTGGGTTACGGGTTGCAGGCAATATGGTGTCCACTACTCCTAGCACGGACGTGTTACGGGACGCGTGCTCGGTCACCATGGGTATGACTCCAGATGATCTGTCTGAGGTTTGCGGCACAAAGACCATTTCGCAGGGTAGTGGGGTGTTGACTGATAAGATTTTTGAGTCGACATTGGCGGTCGACCGGGATTTTAGTGAGCAGCTTGATGCATACTTGGGATTTTATTTTATATTTGATGTTTTGTTGCATATCATGTTAGATTAAAAGCAAATACATTTAAAATTAATTTCATAATTCTAATTTTCTTACAAATGTTCAAAGTTAGTAAATGTACATTACAAACTACCTAACTAATGCATCCCACATGTCCCTTCTCAACTGATATGCTTGATCCCATCCATTGACACTATCCTCGTGGTTTTGCGTCCACCAACCGGCAATCGGCGGGAGTGGTGAATCAGGTACAAGGTCAAGACGGATAAAATGTGATCCACCAATTGTAGCAATCACAAACTCTCGAGTCGGTGACCAAACCCCGTTGCGTGCCCTAAGCGGTAAGACTGTGATGCATGGGTAGTAGCAAGTTGGTACTAGGCCTACTCCGAGACAAATCACCCTTGTGTTGAACCACGTAGCAATAGGAAATATATCTTGAATTGTAACCATCCAATGCCGCTCCCCGACAGCCCCACCATCCCATCGAATACGCTCCACGTTCATCCAAAGTCGCCCAAGCCCGTAAATCCGTTCGTACAAATCAGGATGACCAGCGACCTCGTTCGCTATTGTTTCCCGAGCGTCAAACCACTTATTTTGATCGCCAAAGAAGAAGTCGGCGACACAACGAAAGCCACAGTTCCCATCACCAATGACATCCTTCTAAGACGAAATGTACGGCAACATTGGGGCTGGAAGCAAGTTCAAATACCTGCATTGACTAATGTCACTTGGATCTACAACACAAAATTAAAAGATAAATTATTAGTAAAGCTATAAGTATTACGTTTACATATTTTTATATTAAATATAGAATTTTAGTATTACCTGGTTCTGGGTCACAACCACGTTGAGTGTGTTGACGGTTCACATGCTCGAAATAGCTACGATCACGCCTGGTGTTATTTCTTTTCGGCCGACCACGAGTGTTAAGGTTGATATGTGGTTCTTCAAGGTGTGAATGATCTGGATGTAGCTCCTCTTCAATGATTCGCGTTACATTTCGACGTACGGCCGGGTCACTTTCCATGACTTCGTCGATTAGGGACCGAAAATGTGCAGCCTCCTCGGTCGAATCATTTACCACTTCAGGAATGTTAACACCATCACCAATAACCAGTATCTTCCAGAAAGAATGAATTTGGCTGCTATAAAATCTTGTCTGTGCAACTATGGAATCATGTATCTGGCAAGCACATGGAAGACCATGGGTCAGACGCATAGCACATCCACACCGTTCATGGACCTGGTAACTCAAATCCCGCATCCTTTTCGTCTCGTTATCCAGAACTTTCAAGCAATGTTGAGACACTTTGCCATTTATACGTGACAGTGGCAACTGTCTGTACATCTGACCAATTTTAGAACTTGATGCCTCCAAGTCATTACGAATTTGTATGATGCAATTACCGATATGACAATGGAATCGGGCCCATACGGTATCCAAAGCACCTGCCAATGATTCTAATTAGTAAATTCAAATACAATTACAATTACAATTACAATTACGTAACAACGAGAACAACTAATAAAATAATACAACTAACCTGTGGATGATTCTAACCAAGTTTTCACTGCTGAATGTTGGCTCTCAACTCTGCAGTTGGTGGTGTTACCAAAATGAAGAACCTGGTTCGTCCAAAATTTCACAAATTTCTCCTTATGACAAAGCCAAGTTCTCTGAACATAATGAATCACTTCCGGATATTTTCCCCACCTCACTTGTATGGCAGTTAGAGCACGATCATACTCCGCCTGTGTTGTTGCATTCACGATTTTGAACCATCTCCCAGCTCTAAAACTGACACCAACCGTCTTGTTTCCAAACATCTTCGTCATCTTAGCCTCCACATCTCTGTTGATGTGCCATAGACAGAGTAAATGTGACGTCCCTGGAAAGACTTCTCTCAAAGCCGCACATAGCCCAAGATCACGGTCTGAAATAAATACAGATGGCTCTTTATCAAACCCAATCAACTCCCTTAATCTCTACAACACCCACCGATAGCTAGCCGTGCACTCGTCGCGCATGAAAACATATCCAACTTGAAAATTCTGGTTTGTCGGTGTCACACCTACTATCTCAAAGAAAGGCATGTTATATCGATTGGTCATGTAAGTAGAATCCATACCTATGACATGTGGGTATGTGCGGAGTATTTTGACCATGATCGGGTGCACCATAAATGCATGTTGCAAAACGTTGTGATCATCATTCGTGAACCAGTAAATGTATTTACTCTCTCTCGCCAGATGAAGAAATTGCTGAACAACTCCTCTTCCTTCGGACATTTCCATCCTGAAGTCATTTCGGCAATTGTAAATGTGTTGGATGTTTGGATGATCATCAGGAAATTGCTCGGCAATAGTGGACATGATGTTACGGGGAGCAACCTTGGACTTTGTCATGTCCCGCACAACCTGTTTTGCACCCGGACTCAATCCGCTCACTTTACGGTGACCCTCTGGGTACACAATCATTGGGTGGTTATGTGTCCCAGTGTGATCATTTTTCGCAATGATCTTCCAACTTTCGGTGCTGACATCATAATATATCTTGATGTAGAATGGACAACCATTAACTTTGGTTTTGGTGTCCTTCCGTATCGCGTTCTCCAAATCTCTCGGCTTGCTCCTTCGTGACCGATCACATCGCAAATACCGATACGGACGACCATCTCTGGTTTTGTTATAAGACGATTTCACCAATATAAATCCCAATTTTATGGAAACACCATCAGCCCATGTAACAACATCGTCAAATGTAAGAAAAAACGTATCAGTGACAAAATTCCCACTATAATTCACACCGTCACCGCCTTCCTCAGATTCCATATCCTATACAAATTAAACAAAACATGCTTTATGTCAAAATAATAATAATAAAAACAAAAATAATAATAATAATTATAATTAAAATAATAAAAATAATAAAAACAATACTAATAATAATAATAATAATAATAATAATAATAACAATACTAATAACAATACTAATAATAATAACAACAAATACAAAACAATAACAATATTAATGATAATAAAAAATTATAACAACTACAAAACAACTTATAAGACCATAACATTAATTAATAAATAAATAATAATAATAATAATAATAATAATAATATTAATATTAAAATTATATTTCTACTAATTAATAATAACAATATCAACAACAACAATAAAAATAACAGCAGCAACAACAATAATAATATCAACTACAACAACAACAACAATATCAACATATTACTAATAATAATAACAATAATAATAATAATAATAATATAAATAATAATAATAATAATAATAATAATAATAATAATAATAATGAAACTTAATAAACATATTACTAATAATCATATTAATACAACAAAATTACATTAGTTATCAAATACTAAATCACAACAATAATCACAAGACCACGAAAAAAAAATACATAAAAAAAAAAAAACTTAATAAACATAAAAAAATTAAATAAACGTACTTAACATTAAAAAAAAAATTAATAGGGACATCCGCCTAAAATTTCCGGATGTCCCTAGGTAGATCCGCCTGAAATTTCCGGATGTACCATGGAACATCCGGATTTTTTAGGCGGATCCCATCTTCCGCTTGAAATTTCCGGATGTTCCATGGTACATCCGGAAATTTTAGGCGGATGTACCTAGGACATCCGGAAATTTTAGGCGGATGTCCTAATTACCGAAAAAAAAAAATCTTACAGAATGATCCGACGCATTCTCCGGCGTACGTATGTTCCACTCGCCGTCCATGACCCAAGACCCGTCGGAAAATTTAACGATTTTTTAAAATAGAAAATTTAGGTGGTCGTGGGGACCGATTTTGGGAAGCTTGGGACAGCAATGTCGTGAAGTGAGGGGACCGTTTCATGTATTGTGTCCAAATGGGGAACAAGGTCATTTTTATAACCCAAATTGCATAAAGGGCATAGTGGTCCATTCAAGTCAAAAAGAGAGCGTTACCTGGTAATTTGGGAGCGACAAATAACAATTGAGATTTGATTATCAAATTATTAATGTTTAATTATAAACAACCGGATACATCGCCCAGTGTGTGCACATTGGTACAAATTTTAAACACGTGTGCATTGTGATAAAACATTCCACGTGAAATGCCAAAAAGGAAGTTTCTAATTTAGGATTGATTTTTGGCGTGTACCACGTCCATAGATAACAGTAAAACAGAACATCTACCCCAAACTCAACTTTTTTTGGAAGCCAAAGTGTTTTTTTTAAAAAAATAGTTCAATGCCCCATGCTAATAATTACGGGCGGTTTTTTATTAGTCCATTTATTGGGCCATGTCATTGTTTTTTTCCTAAAATAATACATGTGGTCCCAAATTCTTCCCCTTCCATCTTCTTCATTTCCCTTTCGTCCTGTTTCTCTGATGTTCACTATCTTTCAATTTCTCAAAAATGGTAAGTACTAACAGCAGCAAAAACACAGTACATCCACAAAACCTTTCAATCCCCCTCCATGGAAACCTAGTTTAACAAAAACCTTTCATGAAAACATTGAAAGTTTCAATGCATACTTTGACAATTTGAAGAACGAAATTGATTCATACCGCCATTATCTTCGAGGTGGGAGATTTAAATCAGAGAGTGCTCAAGAAGAAAGAGAATCAAGTGTTAAACGCAAGAGGGAGGACAAAGATGGTCCTGAGAATCCAATTGTCATCTTGCCTGACACTGATGAAGTGGAGGATGGAGACGCTGTAAAGGATGATGAAGTTGATGCCGATGAAGTTGGCAGTGATGGTAGTAGTGGAAAGGACGACGATAAGGATGGAGACGAGCAAGAAGGAGATTTAGGGAAAAAGGACGACTGCGCTGATCAGGTTCAACAAGGTGGGTCAGGGGCGAAGGGCGATGAAGAAGAAGACGACGAAGAGGAAGAGTTAGGTTACGAGACTGTTAAAAAACTGATTCGTCATCTGACGAAGACACAGATCAAGCGAGACAGAGAAAGCCAATTGATCCTAGATAATGGAAGGTTTGGGTTTCTAAAATTGAAGTGTGAATCGTGTTTTTTTTTGGGTGGGTTTGTATATAGCCCTTGGTGGTTTATGGTATGCTGGGTTTTTATTAGTCCGGCTCATTGCAAAAAAGAAAACCTGAGCCAAGATCACACTCACAATTAATATAATCTAAAGACATAATTAATAAGAATTTAGGAAAGACGAAAATACCTTTGAAGCGTGTTTCGCTCATACCCTGAGCTCTTACTTGAGAAAGCTTAAGTCTCGCAACAGACGAAACCTCCTATGATATCCACCCACAACTTGACCCTGACTAGGTCTATTTCTTGGAGGTTAGCCAAGCCCGACCAAACTACTTGAGTAATTATGAGTTTGAAGGTTTTCTCAATGGAGATGCCTTTTTTAACTCTTACTCAAGTGAAAAATCCCATGGTATGCCTTGGCTATTTATAAGAAGTGCTTCCTTGTGAATTCCACTCATCTTTCAATGTGGGACTTTTTCACAAAAAGATCTCACATGGAAAGAATGTTGAATTCAATCCTTAGTTAAATAAACCAAGGAATAACTAAGTAACAAGTGTCACATGATTAGGTGAGGACCACTTCCTCACTCCCCAAGGCAATTCACATAAATTGTGAGCAAACCATGTGGCACCCAACCTTGAGCCCCAAGTTGGGTTCGGTTGGGCCACCACCTTTCGGCCTGTGTCCATGACCTTCCACCTAGGTCCGTGCCCTTTGCCACATGGCTCTTCCACTTGGTGGCTTCCATGTGGTGCGATGCCACTTGGTGGCAGCCACGTGGCGCGCTTCCCTTACCTTTCGCGCGGCTAGGATTTTACTTGTTACTTGAAGCATTTTCCCATTTCTCTAATTCCTAAATTTTTGCTTGACTTTTAAGATTCGGTTCTGACGCTCTATGCTCGGAATCCGACATCTTTGTTCACAATACTCGAGTGACTTATTAATTCCTTACGCATTAATTATCGCGTCGAATCGTTAGGTTCTTTGGTGTGACCTGAAGGGTTCAGTTAAGATGAAGCTGTAATATAAATTATACATTAATATTATTGATCGGAAGCGGCCTCCACCTAGGCGTGCCCATCGCTTTACCTCACTGAATAATTAACTTTCTAATAATTTCGAACCCTCTACCGGAATAATACACTTTTTCGAAGGACAACATTCTTATCAATCTCCAACTTGTCCTTCCGGACAAGTGCGCCTTTAGTGTATCATCTTTTTCCTATGACGCTTAATGTCTCTTCATGAACTATAAGGTAAGATTTATTCGTCACCCTTATTACGTCCAGAAGTTTTTCTCGATATCCTAGTCTTACTGTCAATAAACAGATGATTTCTAAAATCAATCCGAGCACGGCCATGCATTTTCACAGTCTCGTTCTTCGAGAGGCCTTACAAGCAACAAAGACATCTTCCCTATTATTTAGTTGGGGGACATTACCAGTCCTGTAATATGATGAGTGTTATTTATGGCATTCATTTGAGGAGCATTAAGGTTGTTTTTACCTTCTTTTCATAGCTTTTGTTATTAATAAATGCTTAGTTTTATGCTTTTTCCCTTTATTTCTCTTTTTCTCTCTTGATATGTGTTTTTATGGTTTTTCTAGTCTTTTCTTCTTAATTTGTTCACTTTTCGTGGTTGCAGGTATTGTACGAGGTTCAGGTCCCATTAGTGATGATTTTCCAAGTTGGAAGATGCTCGTGGAGTAAGCTCATAACATTGAGAAAGCTCAAGATGCAAGGAAATGGATGCTTTAAGTTCTAGCTCTTGCGCTTTCAAACCGTGCTCCCATGAAGAAGTTGTGTTGAACCCACCAAGAGAGCTCAATGGTGATTGAGAAATTGAAGATTCGATGGTGACAATTGTGTTGAATATCTTCTCCATTATCAATGAGCATTTCTAAATCTATCTCATCTTATTGTTTTGTTAATCTCATGTTTGTTTCGCTTGATTTTAATGTTTGATTCTTAATTAGTGTAATGATGATTCTTGAGTAGTTGTTTGGGTAGGAATTGGGTGAAACT